TTATTTTTATTTTCATTTTTGGTTATTGGTTGGTTCCCGCTCCTGTCTGCTCCCATTAGCTTTCAGTCCGGTCACGTCCTGGTCACGAGAATTATAATGAGGTTGACTCCGGTCCCGCCGGAATCCTGCCGGAATCACGTGACCCGAAGTACTCCCAAAAATTAGTCATCCTCCATTTTACACTGAAACACTTCAGCCTCCAACCCTCTAGTGGGCGCCTGCTTCCGCTTTAAGGAGATCTGACACAAAATGAGTCTCGCAGTAAAATCACACAACACAGCATTATTTTCACAGATCAGAGAGCAGGTTTCTCTAAAGCTGACCAACACTTACTTTAACTTTCGACAGAAATAAAAACAACTTTTGATGGAACACAGCGTTTTGCGCATGCGTCAAAATACGGCAACACTACGGCAAGCCGGCCATAGTTAGCTTGTAGCTTCGCTACTTAGCTCTTGAAGAAAGGACTTTAACGCCACTTGCGCAAAGTTTTCAACTAAAAAAAGTAACAATTAAATTTGACAACTCTTGATTTTACATCAGAAACAGCATTACTACGGTTAGCCGGTAAAAGTCAGATCTCTATCGTAGGCTAAATTTCTATCGTTTCTACCGTGTACTATATATCGTGCATTCCTACTTCATAGTCGTGTCATCTGATTTGCGGCCGTTTGTTTTGGACACTCGGGTAAAGAAAGGAGCTGAGCTGTCAACTGATCACCACCTGGTAGTTAGTTGGATCAGATGGCAGGGGAAGATGCCGGACAGACCCGGTAGACCCAAACATGTAGTGAGTATTTGCTGGGAACGCCTGGCAGAAGAACCCGTCAGAGAGATCTTCAACTCGCACCTCTGGGAGAGCTTTAACCGCATCCCAGCTGAAGTGGGGGACATTGAGTCTGAGAGGGCCATGTTCCGCACCTCGCTTGTTGAGGTAGCTGCCTTGAGCTGTGGCCGCAAGGTTGTCGGTGCTTCTCGCGGTGGTCATCCACAAACTCTGTGGTGGATACCTCGGGTTAGGGAGACTGTCGAGCTGAAGAAGGAGTCCTATCGGGCCTTGTTGGCCAGTGGGACACTGGAGGAAGCTGAGGAGTACCGGAGGGCCAAGCAGTGTGCAGCCTTGGCTGTTGCTGAGGCAAAAGCGCAAATGTGGGAGGAGTTCGGTGAGACCTTGGATAGAGACTCGATGATAGAGACCCTGATTTCCTTAAGGCTCTGGATGTTGTGGGGCTGTCTTGGCTGACACACCTTTGCAACATCGCATGGACATTGGGGGCAGTGCCACTGGACTGGCAGACTGGGGTGGTGGTTCTCCTCTTCAAAAAGGGAAACAGGAGGGTGTGCTCCAATTATAGGGGCATCACTCTCCTTAGCCTCCCTGGTAAGGTCTATTCAGGGGTACTGGAGAAACGTGTCCGATCGTTGGTCGAACCTCAGATCCAGGAGGAACAATGTGGGTTCCGTCCTGGCCGTGGAACACTGGATACGCTCTTTACCCTCACTAGGGTCCTTGAGAGGTCATAGAAGTTTGCCCATCCAGTCTACATATGTTTTGTGGACTTGGAGAAGGCATTCGACTGTGTTTCTCGGGGTGCACTGTGGGGGGTGCTCCGTGAGTATGGGATTGGAGGCCCTTTGTTACGGGCTGTTCAGTCCCTATACAAGCGGTGCGAGAGTTTGGTTCTCATTGCCGGCAGTAAGTTGGACCCCTTCAGGGTGGGAGTTGGACTCCGCCAAGGCTGCCTGTTGTCACCGATGCTGTTCATAAGTTTTATGGACATAATTTCTCAGTGCAGCCAACTGGCGGAGGGTTTCCGGTATGGTGGCTTCAGGATTCCACCTCTGTTCTTTGCAGATAATGTGGTCCTGTTGGCATTATCATGCTGTGATCTTCAGCTCTCACTGGAGCGGTTTGCAGCCGAGTGTGAAGCAGCTGGGATGAGAATCGGCACCTCAAAATCTGAGGCCATAGTCCTCAACCGGAAAATGGTGGAATGTTTTCTTCAAGCCGAGGGTGAGGTTCTGCCTCAAGTGGAGGAGTTCAAGTATCTTGGGGTTTTGTTCACGAGTGAGGGAAGAATGGAGCGTGAGATTGACAGACTGATTGGTGCAGCATCTTCAGTGTTACGGACTCTGTACCAGTCCGTTGTGGTGAAGAGAGAGCTGAGCTGTAAGGCAAAGCTCTCTGTTTACCGGTCGGTCTACATTCCTACCCTCACCTATGGTCATGAACTCTGGGCAGTGACCGAAAGAATGAGATCGAGGATACAGGTGGTTGAAATGATTTTTCTACACAAGGTAGCTAGACTCTCCCTTAGAGATAGGGTGAGAAGTTCAGTTATTCGGAAGAGACTCGGAGTAGAACCGCTACTCCTCCATGTCAAGAGGAGCCAGTTGAGGTGGTTCAGGCATCTGGTAAGGATGCCCCCTGGGTGCCTCCCTAGGGAGGTGCTTCGGGCATGTCCAACTGGGAGGAGACCCCGGGGAAGACCCAGGACACGCTGGAGAGACTATGTCTCTCGGTTGGCCTGGAAACGCCTTGGAATCCTCCCAGAAGAGCTGGAAGAGGTGGCTGTGGAAAGAGATGTCTGGGACTTCCTGCTCAAGCTGCTGCCCCTGCGACCCGACTTCGGAATAAGCGGAAGATAATGAATGATGGATGGAAATCTGAGTTTGAATTTGAATTCAATGTTATTAAAGTATAATGATAGAAAATGTAATCCAAAGATGACTAACAAAGACTAAAGTGGTGTGTAAGGAAAACGTGCTGTTTCATGAATCATCTAAATATATATATATATATCTATATTTTTTTTTTTTGCAGGTGGAAAAGACCAAAGATGACGTTTTTGAGCAGAACTGACTTGATGCTCATGAAAAGAAGCGGCTAAAGGTTTCTCTGCTGTGTCCTTAAACTTTGTTCTGAAAGTTTGATTGAATGGCCAGTTTCGGATGGAATATTCATCATGTTTTGAACTATTGTGACTGTTGGAAGTAATGGAAATAAAAAAGGATCAAAACAAACAAACGTATTTATTAAAAACAAATATTCACTGACAACCTTTACACATGTGAAATCGTCTGTGTCAAAACTGAAACAACTATTTAAAATGTTTCCTGTTTTAAATTGATCTAATTTATCTTTGCTAAATGATACAATTTATGTACATTTAGTTTTTACCTCAGTGAAACCTCGTCTGTTTCACTGTTGGCTCTTGTAGTTTTTTGTTGTTGTTGTTTTGTTTTAAGTTTTCAAGGCTGATGAGAGGCATCTGAAGTTTAAAAAAAAAACAGTTCTAAAAACTGTTTGCCTAAAAAACACAAATATATTTAACTATATCAATATGTGAATAAACTTGATTTTATTCACAAAACAGAGAAAAAATAAGTATATTTTTCACTAATCCTGCAATGGAGACAATCTGACTGATTCCAAATAGAAGTGCATTGCTAATTGGATGGCAAGATGGCACCAGTGTGTGTGGCCGTCCGTCTGTCGTTCTTGGTTTAGTTTGTTTTATTTCTCTGTTTTGTGCTCAGCACTAAGTTGGTGCTTGTGTACAATCGCTAGTCCCTCCTGGATATTCAACATGTTGTTGGCAATCCCAATGCCTTTGATTATGGTGGACAGAAAACTTTACCCCCGCTCCTGTCAGGAGTCCCAGCTCATCTCCTCCGGGCACCTGCGCTGCCCCCCCCGGCGGAAACGTCATCGTTACCACGGTAAACGTGGA